ATCCTACACTTATAAGTTGTTCATACATCCTACACTTACAAGTTGTTCATACATCCTACACTTACAAGTTGTTCATACACCCTACACTTACAAGTTATTCATACATCCTACACTTACAAGTTGTTCATACATCCTACACTTACAAGTTGTTCATACATCCTACACTTACAAGTTATTCATACATCCTACACTTATGTTATTCATACATCCTACACTTAAAAAGCTGTTCATACATCCCATGTACTTATAAGTTGGTCACACATCCTGTACACTTATAAGTTGTCTATACATCCTACACTTAAAAGCTGTTCATACATCCTATACTTATAAGTTGTTCATACATCTCACACTCCTAAGTTGTTCATACATCCTACACTTCTACAGTTGTTCATACATCCCATACTTATATAAGTTGTTCACATCCTACACTTACAAGTTGTTCATTTCCTGCACACTTATGTTATTCATACATCTCACACTTAAAAGCTGTTCATACATCCTATACTTATAAGTTGTTCATACATCCTACACTTACAAGTTATTCATACATCCTACACTTACAAGTTGTTCATACATCCTACACTTACAAGTTGTTCATACATCCTACACTTACAAGTTGTTCATACATCCTACACTTACAAGTTATTCATACATCCTACACTTACAAGTTGTTCATACATCCTACACTTACAAGTTGTTCATACATCCTACACTTACAAGTTGTTCATACATCCCTACACTTACAAGTTATTCATACATCCTACACTTATGAATTCCTCAAACATCCTACACTTCAGTTACTCATACATCCTACACTTATCAGTTGTTCATGCATCCTACACTTATAAGTTATTCATACATCCTACACTTATAAGTTGTTCATGCATCCTACACTTATAAGTTATTCATACATCCTACACTTATGAATTCCTCAAACATCCTACACTTCAGTTACTCATACATCCTACACTTATCAGTTGTTCATGCATCCTACACTTATAAGTTACTCATACATCCTACGCTTATCAGTTGTTCATACATCCTACACTTATAAGTTGTTCATACATCCTACACTTATAACTTCCTCATACATCCTACACTTACAAGTTGTTCATACATCCTACACTTCTCAGTTCCTCATACATCCTACACTTCAGTTCCTCATACATCCTACACTTATCAGTTCCTCATACATCCTACACTTCAGTTCCTCAACATCCTACACTTATCAGTTCCTCATACATCCCACACTTATCAAGTTGTTCATACATCCCTACACTTATAAGTTGTTCATATTACACTTATCAGTGTTCATACATCCTACACTCAGTTGTTCATACATCCCACACTTATGTTGTTCATACATCCTTACACAAGTTATCACATACATCCTACACTTTTTGTTGTTCATACATCCTACACTTATAAGTTGTTGTTCATACATCCTACACTTATAAGTTCCTCATACATCCTACACTTACAAGTCTTCATACATCCTACACTTATAAGTTGTTCATACATCCCACACTTACACTTATATGTTGTTCAGTTATTCATACATCCTACACTTATAAGTTGTTCATACATCCTACACTTATAACTTCCTCATACATCCTACACTTACAAGTTGTTCATACATCCTACACTTCTCAGTTCCTCATACATCCTACACTTATCAGTTCCTCATACATCCTACACTTATCAGTTCCTCAAACATCCTACACTTCAGTTCCTCATACATCCTACACTTATCAGTTCCTCATACATCCTACACTTCAGTTCCTCAAACATCCTACACTTCAGTTCCTCATACATCCTACACTTATCAGTTCCTCAAACATCCTACACTTCAGTTCCTCAAACATCCTACACTTCAGTTCCTCATACATCCTACACTTATCAGTTCCTCAAACATCCTACACTTCAGTTCCTCAAACATCCTACACTTATCAGTTCCTCAAACATCCTACACTTCAGTTCCTCATACATCCTACACTTATCAGTTCCTCATACATCCTACACTTATCAGTTCCTCAAACATCCTACACTTCAGTTCCTCATACATCCTACACTTATCAGTTCCTCATACATCCTACACTTCAGTTCCTCAAACATCCTACACTTCAGTTCCTCATACATCCTACACTTATCAGTTCCTCAAACATCCTACACTTCAGTTCCTCAAACATCCTACACTTCAGTTCCTCATACATCCTACACTTATCAGTTCCTCAAACATCCTACACTTCAGTTCCTCAAACATCCTACACTTATCAGTTCCTCAAACATCCTACACTTCAGTTCCTCATACATCCTACACTTATCAGTTCCTCATACATCCTACACTTATCAGTTCCTCAAACATCCTACACTTCAGTTCCTCATACATCCTACACTTATCAGTTCCTCATACATCCTACACTTCAGTTCCTCATACATCCTACACTTATCAGTTCCTCAAACATCCTACACTTCAGTTCCTCAAACATCCTACACTTCAGTTCCTCATACATCCTACACTTACAATTTAAATAACTTGAAGTTCAGAACTGTGTCAGACAAAGAATGGAGGAAAGTAATGGCAAGTTTTCTTTTGTGAATTCCACGTCTCATTCATCTCTCAACTAAAACGTGAAGGCGAGAAGACCCACTTGTATCTAAACCAGAATTTATTACATTATTTTCAGAGATTATACATTTTTCTTGAAGACACTTAAAACGGTGTATCAATCTAAGAATTAAAAAAATAAATAAATAAATATAGAAAACTGTTTAACACCAACTTGTACAGTATTCTCTACGTAAAGGTGTTAATAGTATGATGAGATTCAGCAATAATATCAATATTAAAAAAAATATATATATATTTATCAACAACACTGATATATGTAAAAGCAGAACCTTTAATCAATCGATATTAATTAAGTAAATAACTGATCCCTCCCGCGCCTGCTACTATGATAAGTGTACAGAGTGCGTCATAGTACCTTAGGTGGACACTGGACAAGCTTCTGGTCAGACTAAAAAATCAACCAAAATTCTTTCCAGGCCGTCTTTGACGCTTGGTGTACAGGGTAATATATGTCAGGGTAAAATATGTATTTTTCAACAAATCTCTTATAGTTTAAATGTTTCAAAACCATACAAGGAGTCAATATGTGTATTTCCTCCCTCTACAGGGCATAGTACCAATTCTCTTTTGTTTTTCCCACTGACTTGGTGACAGATAGGGCTTACACATGTCTATCACAGTAATAAAATAAATGGGGGTCATCCCATTACAAGAGTTTGGTATATAAGTAATAGTAATCATGACAACTAAGAGTAATAAACTGTACATACACCCCAGCCACTCCGTCCTCTCAGTTAGCTGCAGTGCATGACGCGCCGCGCTCTGCCCTCACAACTCAAACATCAGGGAAAGGTCGCAGTGTCACTCTTGTTTACTGAGTGACATAAACTCGTGTTGTGAAGGTTCTGTGCTTGCCAGCTCTTCTCACTGGGTAAAATGTCAATTAATTTAGCAGGACCTACACGAATATATATATTGGTGCTAACTTTGTGTACAGGATGTATATTTCTCTATGTAAAATAATTATTTACAAGGTCAACGAGCTTCTTTATACTTTAGTGCCAAACATTCATCATCTTGGCATAAAACCTTAAATAATTCAGTACTTTGTTTTGATTTTAACAATAGAAAAACCAGCTTCCTTCTTTATAACAAACAGAGCAGCTGACACACTCATGTTGATATTAGAGACTTCATAAAAGTTAAAACACTTGTACTGTACTGTACAATGCCCAGAAAATTATCATACATGTTAAGTGTTTATATTGACGGATAATTCACTACATGCAAGGTATATTTTCTTCCAATAACAATATACAGTTTTATTATTTCCTTGTTTTTAAAATAAAACTATTAATAACATTTAGAAGTACGGTGAATAGTAAGTCAGTAGGGCACGAATAGGCGTTATACTTACTGTGTGCTGATCAACAGCTTGTTATAGCCTCTTCCGCACAACACGTGTTTAATATAAGAATTACCTAAACGACAACAGTCCCCCCTCAACACGACTCCGAATGAAACACTATCCTATGTAGACTATCTCCTGACCAGGTTATTTTATCAGTGTTGAATTTGGGGAACCAACACTAATGATTAAATAAACACACACACACACACACACACACACACACACACACACACACACACACACACACACACACACACACACACACACACACATCAATATGATTGCAGTATTTCCCTATGGTACGAGTCGCGGGATTAAAAAAAGGAAATTATACTCATTATAACAGCCCCACAAAAAAGGCAGGATATATGATTTAGACTGTTCTCTACCCATGACCCACAGCACATTTGCCTGATTACCGAGCCTGCGGCGTGTAGGTTTGGCTGAGAAATACAACGATGCTTTTTTCCTCAGTATAATGGAAGTGATCGGAACTGGCGGTCTGGTCTGCTACGATAACACTTATTCATATTATAGCACATTTGTAGATATACAGTGTAGTTTATATCTTGTAGTACACTGCTGTTACTTTCTTTCAGAAGGAGTTAATAAATGCAATTCTCAAGCTCTAGAGAGAAATGTTTGTGAAACAGTTAGTGGGCGGCCGGCAGGGAAATTCACGGACTCCATCGAGTTATCTCGTTTAGTGCACTCTATCTAAGGATTATTAACTGTGCACCCTGATAACCCGTGTAGTACTCCTACTTCTTCTCATCATCAGAAATAGACTTTTAAGCGTGTACTTTCTTATTAGATTAACAAAAACTTATTGAGAGTGAAGCTCGTGCACACCCACACACACACAAAACGTTAAATTTAATATCTCTATGGTCTGACATTATTAATATCAGTACACACACAGGAAAATTTATTCACCGATCATACCTTTTAACTCTGTACAGACCTGTCTTAATGACCCCACTGTACGAGAGAGGTAAACAAAATTAGAGTACTTACCGTGTTCATCCATCTGGTCGAAAGTGAAGTCGACATTTTCGTAAGAATTCCACGAGGCGATGGCACACGGAGACTTGTCGCAGGAGACGTTGGATACTGTTCGTGGTCGTTCATCTGGTGAGTGTGTGAAGAACAGCTCCACACTACCATCCAGGGGGAACCTCATGTCTGGGGGGAGGAAGACCAACCTTATTATACAGTGAAGCAAATATAGTCCACGGTATACTCCTCAACTTCTATACTTCCTTACAAATTGTCTTAGCCTTTTTCTTATGGCTTCCAACACTATCTAGACTTGCATCACTCTACCCACTATCTTTCTTCCCTTTTTGATGTTTACATATATTTTAATCCATCCCGTAAAGTGAGACTGGAAATCATAAACCAATACAGGTCATCATAACAACTACCGAGGTTTACAATGAACGTCATCATAAAACTCATTACATTATATTCTACCTCCACATCTCACATCTTCGCCCTCTGGCAAGTATCCAAAACACTATAATATTTTAACCTTAATTTCTTTCGTTTATTTCTTGTTTTATCTGGCACATATATACCTCTTCTTCATCAGGCACACTTGTCGTTATACCTAGTGAGTCACTCATCATTCATAAACAAAGTACTTTAGATATATTATAACTATTTTGTTTATTGTTTACACCTTTAACCATCCTACAATCGTGGTGTATTTCCTCACAAACTCACAATTTAATAACCTTACTGTATTTCCTCACAAACTCACAACTTAATGACCTTACTATTTTTCCTCACAAAATCACAACTTAATGACCTTACTTTATTTCCTCACAAAATCACAACTTAATGACCTTACTATATTTCCTCACAAACTCACAACTTAATGAATCTGTTAAATAGTGAGAGCTGTTTTATATTTCCGCGTACTGTACTCTTTTCTTCACACTAATCTCCTTAATGTTGCAGGAAAATCGAGAAAGCCAGGAACACCGTAGTAATGATACAGTCACTGTACACCGACCCGACCCCAATGTCATCCCTTTGAATACAAATTTAAGAGAAAAAATTAATGTCAATACAATTTGTGAATATCGTGTCCAAGTACCAGCTTCTCAAGTCAAAAATACTTAGATAATGCCAGGACAAACAAGTGTAGTAAGCTTTTAGGGTATGGTGAGGGGGAAGGGGAGGGCGGCGGTGTGCTCTTACAAAATATATGAAATTAAATATATAAAGGTGGACTTTTTTCATTGTTCTGTTATAAGCACCATGTACTAGTAGTAGTAAGAATAGATTATTTACATTACATCTCTAGAAAAATAACAACATTTCATAATTTTTTCAATTCAATTTTGTCGGATTACGTGAAGAATAACATCCACCCAGGTTATTTCACCTAACCTAACCTAACCCTCCCAAATAGTGCTAGGGTGGTTAAACTTAAGATTAAATAATTTACAAATAATACTAACTTATATGTATCTGAACTTCTGTCATATATAAACAATTCTATTCTTTCCTTTGTTAAGGGTCTTCAATAGAGAGGGTTAGTTGTACCCAAGAAAGAAAAACATCACTTTAGGTGCCACCAAACTCCCTCTTGTCGGTTACCACCATAATAGAGTTGTTCTGGCACAGAAAACGGATCACAGAAAATAGTTAACAAAGGGTAACCAAGTTAATATAAATTACTGAAGGTATAAGACAATCAGAGCAGGAGGGCGAGGAATAAATCAAATAACAAGTCTTACGGGTCACTGTGTCCCTCTCAACATGTGCTGGTAACACTGTTGGATTGTTTTACACTTTGAAGAGAATATATATATATATATATATATATATATATATATATATATATATATATATATATATATATATATATATATATATATATATATATATATATATATATATATATATATATATATATATATATATATATATATATATATATATATCCTTTATACTACTCTAAACTGTACTAGTTTCCTCTGAGGTGTGTGTGTGTACCGTAACATCATCACAAGATCAAAAAGTAAGGCTGATACTGATCTGTCTCTTTAATTTATGATGGATGGAAATGTTGAGGACACACACACACACACACACACACACACACACACACACACACACACACACACACTTGACCGTCTACCGCTGTCGTAGACAGACTGTCATCCTAGGCCTAAGCATTCCTCAGGAGCTGCCAGGACTTGCCTGTAACCCCGGGCAGCTCCCATAACTTCCTCCTCACCAAGACACCAGTGCAAGGATTGTTGATCAACTCACTACAAGTAACATATAGTGACAATTTTTATTCGAAAAGAATGGAAACAAGTGTTGGCGGTGGAAACAAGTGTTGGCGGTGGAAACAAGTGTTGGCGGTGGAAACAAGTGTTGGGTGGAAACAAGTGTTGGCGGTGGAAACAAGGTTGGCAGTGGAAACAAGTGTTGACGGTGGAAACAAGAGTTGGCGGTGGAAACAAGTGTTGGCGGTGGAAACAAGTGTTGGCGGTGGAAACAAGTGTTGGCGGTGGAAACAAGTGTTGGCAGTGGAAACAAGTGTTGGCGGGAAACAAGTGTTGGCACAAGTGTTGACGGTGGAAACAAGTGTTGGCAGTGGAAACAAGTGTTGGCGGTGGAAACAAGTGTTGGCGTGTTGGAAACAAGTGTTGGCAGTGACAAGTGTTGACGGTGGAAACAGTTGGAAACGGTGGAAACAAGTGTTGGCGGTGGAAACAAGTGTTGGCGGTGGAAACAAGTGTTGGCGTGTGGAAACAAGTGTTGGCAAAACAAGTGTTGGCTGTTGGAAACAAGTGTTGGCAAGTGTTGGCAGTGGAAACAAGAAACAAGTGTTGGCGGTGGAAACAAGTGTTGGCAAACAAGTGTTGGCGGTGGAAACAAGTGTTGGCGGTGGAAACAAGTGTTGGCGGTGGAAACAAACAAGTGTTGGCGGTGGAAACAAGAACAAGTGTTGGCGGTGGAAACAAGAGTTGGCGGTGGAAACAAGGCGGTGGAAACAAGTGTTGGCGGTGGAAACAAGTGTTGGCGGTGGAAACAAGTGTTGGCGGTGGAAACAAGAGTTGGCGGTGGAAAAACAAGTGTTGGCGGTGGATGTTGGCGGTGGAAACAAGTGTTGGCGGTGGAAACAAGTGTTGGCGGTGGAAACAAGAGTTGGCGGTGGAAACAAGTAAACAAGTGTTGGCAGTGGAAACAAGTGTTGGCGGTGGAAAACAAGTGTTGGCGGTGGAAAAAACAAGTGTTGGCGGTGGAAACAGTGGAAACAAGTGTTGGCGGTGTGGAAAAGTGTTGGCGGTGGAAACAAGTGTTGGCGGTGGAAACAAGTGTTGGCGGTGGAAACAAGGGCGGTGGAAACAAGTGTTGGCGGTGGAAACAAGTGTTGGCGGTGGAAAAAACAAGTGTTGGCGGTGGACAAATGTTGGCGGTGGAAACAAGTGTTGGCGGTGGAAACAAGTGTTGGCGGTAGAAACAAGTGTTGGCGGTGGAAACAAGTGTGGCGGTGGAAACAAGTGTTGGCGGTGGAAACAAGTGTTGGCGGTGGAAACAAGAGTTGGCTGTGGAAACAAGTGTTGGCGGTGGAAACAAGTGTTGGGCGGTGAAACAAGTGTTGGCGGTGGAAACAAGTGTTGGTGGAAACAAGAGTTGGCGGTGGAAAAAATAAGTGTTGGCGGTGGAAACAAGTGTTGGCGGTGGAAACAAGAGTTGGTGGTGGAAACAAGTGTTGGCGGTGAAACAAGGTTGTGGAAACAAGTGTTGGCGGTGGAAACAAGTGTTGGCAAAACAAGAAAACAAGGTTGGCGGTGGAAACAAGTGAAACAAGAGTTGGTGGTGGAAACGGTGGAAACAAGTGTTGACGGTGGAAACAAGTGTTGACGGTGGAAACAAGTGTTGGGTGGAAACAAGTGTTGAAACAAGAGTTGGTGGTGGAAACAAACAAGTGTTGGCGGTGGAAACAAGAGTTGGTGGTGGAAACAAGTGTTGGCGGTGGAAACAAGTGTTGGCGGTGGAAACAAGTGTTGGGTGGAAACAAGTGTTGGTGGAAACAAGTGTTGGCGGTGGAAACAAGAGTTGGCGGTGGAAACAAGTGTTGGCGGTGGAAACAAGTGTTGGCGGTGGAAGCAAGAGTTGGCGGTGGAAACAAGTGTTGGCGGTGGAAACAGCAGGACGTGAGATGCCAGACTTTCGGGGGCAAAGGGAGACTCGGACCCAACCAATAAACACCCAAGTGCCAAACCCTGGACCCTTGTGAGACAACCCTCGCCGACACCATGTGGGGCTGACGATACTCCGTGGACTGGGACCGGCCAGCTGTACAACACCGCAGCTGCATCAGAGCTAACACCAGCCTCTCCAACCACAGTTAAAAGTATCAGACTCTAGTTAAACTGTATAATCACCACATGTTTCCTTATGTAATTTATATAATTTCTGTACATTGTGTATTTTCAGACATTGGCTGCTATTTTCCCAATAAGCCGCTTATTATTATTATTATTATTATTATTATTATTATTATTATTAATATTATTATTATTATTATTATTATTATTATTATTATTATTATTATTATTATTATTATTATTATTATTATTATTATTATTATCATTATTATTATCATTATTATTATTATTTATTTTTAATTTTGCAAAAACGGCCCATAACTTTCGGTTATGTTTACCGAAGTATCAGAAATAAAGTCACTCAAGTAGTTAGAAATGCCAGACGTAACTATTATAAAAATAAGCTCCAGTCAGCATCAGGCAACAGTAAGAAAACCTGGAGTATCATCAATTCTATTCGGAACAGGAACACTCAACCCCAATCAGCTTTTATAATAAATGATACAGTTGAAACGGAACCCTATGTCATTACCAACCAGTTCAATGATTATTTTATTAATGTTGGCAAAAATCTTGCAAAGAGCATCCCTGACCACCATCAGGAATTTAGAACCTACCTGCAAAATAGACAGCAAAATGAGCTGTTCTTATCCCCTGTCACAGCTGATGAATTACTGGCCATCATAAAAATATTCAAAGATGCAGCTGCAGGCAACGACGATATCCCAACGAGCATCATTCAGAAAGTAGCCCACCTATTGCTACCTATTCTCTTACACATTTGTAACTCCTCCTTCAATAGTGGTGTATTTCTGGATAAACTGA